TTTGGTGGTAGTGGTGGTTTTCATAGTTAAGTTAAACTACTATTTGGTCTCATAATATGTTTGTTAAAGAGACTGGATTGAGTTCCTGTTGAGTTCCTCATAATGAAGATTTTACCAGCTGACTTTGTGTGATGTGATGCCTTTTAACGTGTTCCTCTGTCCCCAGCATTTGCTGTAAGTGGTAGAGAGCCTTCAAGTCTGGTTTTATGGGATTGTTTGTTTGTTTGTTTGTTTGTTTTTAAATCTCTTCTCGGTACCACGCACTGGCCTGTAACAAGGCCCATTGTGTCTGGCCACTGTTAGGAAACTCACTTGGCACTGTCTACATCTCAGCTTAAAACAAAACTCAACTGCCTGTGTGTTGGAACCCACTCATAGCTGACCCTCCAGTGGGTTTTCAGAGGCTCCAGTCACTCAGGAGGGGATTGTCCATCTTTTTCTTCCAGAACAGCTGAGGGATTCAAACCACCCGCTTTTGGATTGGCAGCACAACTCTCTACCCACTAGGCCACCACAGCTCAAGCCTATTTAAAAAAAAAAAAATTACCAATGGACTTCAACTCATGGCCACCTGGTGTGTGTCAGAATAGAAGTGGGTCCCACAGGGTTTTCCATAGCTAACTTCTCAGAAGTAGACCTAGGCATTTCATCTCAGGGGTATCTGGCCAAACTCAAATCTCTACCCTGATGGTTGACAGCTGTGCGAGTCCATCATTGGCACGATTCTATTTCAGTCATTAAATTAATGAACCCCAAGCTGTTTGCCAGTCATTCAACTTCCAACTCAACAGCAACCCCATAAAACGGCACGTTAGTGTTTCAAGTCTGTGAACCTTTGTGGGGGCAGATTGCTACGTCTTTTCTCCAGTGGAGAAGCTGGTGGGTTTGAACCTCTGACCTTTCAGTTAGTGACTGAACACTTACCACTGTGCGCTGGGGCTCCTTATTTAATACATTATTGATTGTAAAATTGTCATTGTTGTGTGTGAATGAGTTGCTTGTGACTCATAGTGACCCACTGTAAACAGCTCTGAACCCTGACCTATCTTGAGCCAACCTTATTGTCACCTACTCCCATTACCCCAGTCACTGAATCAATTCATCTCATCCAGGGTCTTCCTCTTTTGTGCTGTCCCTCCACCCTTCCATGCATGACGTCCCTCTCCAAGGACTGGTCCCTCCTGCCCCGTGCCCGAAGTATGTCAGATGGAGATGCAGAGTCCTTGCCTTCAAGGAGCAGCCTGGTTTTACCCTCTCTAGGATGAACCTGTTTGTTCTCCTAGTGGTCCATGGTATAGTCTCTTCTCCAGCACCACAGCTCAAAGGCATCAATTCTTCTACCATTCCTAATCCTTGTCCAGCTTTCCTATGCGTAGCAAGTAATTGCATATACCATGGCCTACATCAGCGCATCTTAGTCTCCAAACTGACGTGGTTGCTCTTCAGTACTCTGCAGACATCCCTGATAGCAGATTTTCCCAATGCAGTTCATCTTTTGATATGGGTTATAAAAGAGCAATATTATAATTGTTATTCTTCCTTTGGTTACTAGCTAAGTCTAACTAGACGTCTTTTGACAGAGATATTTTGAGGAAAAAAATTTAAAATAAAAGTGAGATCAAGTAGGGGAGTCGTACATAGGTTAAATACACTTACCAGCCAACCATATTTTAAGTTGTGAAATAAAATTCAAGTAAACTTATTTGTTGCTGATGTTAGATGGATCTTAGCTGAAAGCAGAGAATACCAGAAGAATGCCTGTCTGTGTTTCATTGATTATGCAAAGGCATTTGTGTGGATCGTAACAAACTGTGGCTGACTCTGAGAAGACTGGGAATCCCAGAACATTTAATCATGCTAATGCGAAACCTATATTTGGACCAAGAGGCAGTCGTCAGAACAGAGCAGGGCAACACTGCATGGTTCAAAATTGGGAAGGGTGTA